TAATATGGAAATGCAAAGATATTAAATAGCCAAACAACAGTGGAAAAAAGAAAAGTTTAAGGGCTACCACTACCTGATTTCAATATTTATTTTTAAATGATATTTTTCAAATGAGTGTGATGGTTGTGTAAAAGTAGTCAAATAACTTACTGGAACAGAATAAAGTGTCCATAAATGAACCCACACATATATGAACAACTGATTGTTGACAAAGATGTAAAGGCAATGCAGTAAAAGTGAAGGAAGAATAGTCTTTTTAGCAAACAGTGTTGAAACAATTGGATATGTTTAAGCACACACAAAAAATCAATCTATAGTTCATACTGTCTAAAAAAAAAAAAACATATATCTCAATATAAACAAATAGAAGAAAGCACAAAGGAGAAAAGTTTTGTGACCTTGGATTAGGCAAATGGTTCTTAGAAATACCACCATAAGAACATGAAAATAGACTTCATCAAAATTAAAAATTCCTGCTTTTCTGAGGATATTGTTCAGACAACCAAGAACAGGCAATGCATTGAGAAAAAATTTCCCAAAATATGTATCTGAATAAGAACTTTTTCCCAGAATATACTAAGAACTCTCAAAACTCAACAAGAAAATAATAAAAATGTTCACGAAATTGGAACAGTTACTTTATCAAAGAATATATACAGATAATAAACAGACACTTGAAAAAAAGTTCAAGATCATTTGTCATTTGGGAAATGCAAATTAAAACTACAATGATATACTTCTCTCTGTATATTTAAATAGTTAAAGTTTACTTCAATGCTCATTGCAGCACTATGCACAATAACCAAAAGGTAGAATCTACAACTTAAATGTCCATCAATGAATGAATGGAAATAAAAAATAGTACACACATATAATGTAATACTACTCAGCCATCAAGAAAAATGAACTCCTGACATATGCTGCAACATGGGTAAACCTTGAAATTACACTGAATGAAATAAGTCAACCACAAAAAAGACAAATATTGTATGATCGCACTAATATGAAATGACAAGAATAGGCAAATATTTCGAGACCAAAGTTTATTAATAGTTACAAGGGGCAGGTGGAAGAGGTGAGGGGAAAGCATTGTTTGGGAAGCAATGAGTTTCTTATTATAGTGATAGGAAATTTGAGATTAATTAAGGGCAATAATTGCATAACATAATTAATCTAATGGATATCATTAAGCTATGCAACTGAAAAAGGCTGAATAAGAAAATGTTGTGTCATATGTGTCTACCTCCTGGTTCATTGTGTAGTGTCTGAGGTCTTAGAAGCTTGAGGATGGCCAACCAAGTTATTACTATTTGTCTCTATTTGCCTAGAGCAGAAGAAGGAGAATTAAGAACTGGAGGAGAAAATGGAATGTGTGTCTGTCTCCATGAACAACTGCCTCCTTTGCAATGAGACCAGAAGAACTGCACAGTGTCTGGCTATCATTCCAGAACGTTTTCATTGAGGAGTCTGTGAAATAATCTTGATCAAAGGGAGTAAAATGTGGAACAGAATTGGAAATCTTCAGAATCCAGTCTTTCTGGAGCCATAGAGACTGGATGCCTCTTGTTCTGGTTACCTAGTGCCGCTCTGACAAGAATATGGGATGTTCTTAACAAATAGGAGTTTATTTTCTTAACATTTGGAGGCTTTAAGTCCGAGTTCCAAGTGCCAGGATCTAGGGGCTATGTGAAAGCCCCTCGACCTTGGGCTTCAGCTCTGCCTCTTGCTCCCAGCCCACTGAAGCTACAGGCTTTTCTTCACTCAGGTGGCTACTGGCTGCTGAGGCTAACAAGCCCAAGGTCGACAAATAAAATGGCACAGTCCTCATGTTACCAAACCACCAAGCATGCCATAAACTAGAGACCATTCCCAAAGCTGTTTCTTACATACGGGAAGAAGACCACATACTCAAAGCAGCTACTCAGCTGCTCCAGTAGATTCCACCATGGAGTTAATTATCAGTCTTACCATGGGGAATAACTACATTCAGCTGCCCAACACTCAACCAGGCCCAGCCGAGTTGACACATAAATGTAACCAGCACACCTCCCAAAAAAGCTATTTTCTAAGATGATTTTTAAACCATAAACTGAAATTATCCACTGAAATCATCTCTAACCCAAATAATAATTTAGTTTAATTAGTAAAGAATGTCTGCCTTCATCATTGTGTTGTTTCAAAGAAGTATCTATATTGGATCAAATTGAAAAGAGCAACACAAAAGGTTACATGAAAGGCTTAGGGGGCAGTTTATCTTAATGGAAGTGGAATAATTTGGAAAAGTATAGTGAGAATGGCTATACAATTTGAAGAGTGTTATCAGTGTCAATAAATTGTTGCATTAATGTATATTTTTCACACAAAAATAATGTAATGGATAAAATTACAAAGGCTGACCATATGAAGCATTGGCAAGGATGAGATGGAATAGATCTACCACATGCTGATCAGGGAAAGTAAAATGGTACAACTTTGGAATATTTTCAAACAGCTAAATACACGTGTGATGCAAATATTACGTTGTTGCTGATAGGTGCTGTCAAGTAAATTCTGGCTCATAGTGACCCCAAGGGACAGAATAGAACTGCCCGTAGAGTTTTCTTGGCTGTGATCTTTAGGAAGCAGATTATTGGGTCTTTCTCCTGTAGTGCCACTGTATGAGTTCAAGCTGCCAACTTTTCATTTAGCAGTCAAGCATTTAACTATTTGTGCCACCAGGACTCTGTTGTATACATTATACTCATAAGTATTTACCCAACAGAAAAGAAATCCTGAGTCCATATATATAGACTTGTACATGATTGTTTGTAGCAGGTTTATTTGTAATAGGCACACATTGAAAACAACCCAAATTCCATCAGCAAGCAGATGAATAAATGAGTCGTGGTATATCTGTACAAGGGAATAATCCTCAGCACTTAAAAAAATGGACAATTGATACAGCAATGAGATTGATGAACCTCAAAATAATTACATTAAATGAAAGAAGCTAAACAAATAAACAAAAGAGTGCATATTGTATGATTCCATTTATATAACTCTCTACAAAATGCAAACAGAATGCAGAGCGGCAGTTGTCTAGGAAGTGGGGTTGGGAAAAATCATGATAAAATGTGAGGGTAATGGAGATATTCATGATCTTGATTGTGGTGATGATTCCAAGAGTGTTTACCTATGTCATACTCATCAAATTTTGTTGTTGTTGTTTGTTGTTGTTGTTGTTGTTGTTGTTGTTATGTGCCATTGAGTCTGACAGACTCTTAGAGACCCCTCCTTGGGTTTCCCAGGCAGTATCACTACAGAAGTAGATTGCCCAACCTTCCTTCTGAGGAGTGCCTGGTAGAATCAAATTTTACTGCACCTTAATTATGTTAAGTTTATTGTATGCTGATTATACGTCAATAAAGCAGTTAGAAAAAAAAAAGAAGAAAGAAAAGAAAACCTTTCTTGTCTTCCTAGGGATGACACAGCTTTCTTACAAGATTGGTGCTAGACTATACTCAGCAATAACCAAAAACCAAACCCACTGCTACCCACTCTAAGCAACCCCCACTGAGTTTCCAAGACAGTAAATCTTTACAGAGGTAGATTGCCTCATCTTCCTCCCTCTGAGCAGCTGTTGGGTTTGAACTACCAACCTTCCGGTTAGTAGTCAAATGCCTTATGTGCTGTGCCACCAGAGCTCCTTATATGCAGCATATGTGCAGCGAAATGGAAGGGCTCTCTTTAAACATCCATGAAGGAAGAGGGAAAGGATGTAGTAACACTGAAAATAGAGGGAATTCAATTGCAACAGTTTCTATAGGGAAATAGCTCCATAGCTGGCTCAGTTTATCCTAGAAATGAGTGTCTTCATTCTTTTGTCCTGTATGTTATACATTATAGCAAAATATAACAGAGTTGACAAGAGATCTGCTATGAAGGTGTGTACTTTCAGGATAAAAACATTCTTTTTCTTATTATTATTTTAATTTTTTTTTATTCTTGCTTCTGGACTATGATTGTGACAAATACTGCAAATACTGTTCTGAAAATTTATGCACATGTTAAGCTGCTGTTCTTTGGTAGAGAAAAAATGAAGAAATAATAACTGATTTAAACCCAGCTGATGTCGACTTATAGTGACCCTATAGCACAGAGTAGAACTGTCCTCATAGGGTTTCCAAGGCTGTAAATCTTTACAGAAGCAGATTGCCTCATCTTTCTCCCTGGAGCAGCTGGTGGGTTCTAACTGTTGACCTTTTGGTTAGCAGCCAAATGCTTTAACCACTAGACACCACCAGAGTTGTGGACTAGTTCACAGAAAAGACCATCTAATTATTCCCTAAAATAATAACAATAATAATAGTAATAATAATAAAAAACCCAACCTGCTGCCGTTGAGTCAGTTCTGACTTACAGAAACCCTAAACTCCCTAATTGCCCACCCAAAATATGTAGGCATTGTGTGTGTGTGTGTGTGCATGTGCACAAATGGTGGAATCTGGAGATGAACTGCAATAGAAAGACTGATGCGAGGTGGCTTTTAAATTTGGGAACATGAGTCCCTTGATTTCAGTAAGGCCTTTCCCCTCTTTCATTTCTTCATGTGCAGTGTTGCCCATGCATATTTCCCTTTTTTGTGTGTATGTTGCCCTCTGCCTGCAGTTGGGCAATATCTCCCAGTTCAGTCTTCTATGCAGTTTTAGGAGGGTGAGGGGAAAGGTGGCACTGAGGTAGAGAGGACTGAATGCAGAGCAGTTCCAAGGCTTGGAGAGTAGTAAAATTTAAAAATAGAAAAGGGAGAAGAATTGAAGGCTGGCAGGGACACTTGAGACAAATTAGACAAACTGATATAGAGGTGACAGGCAGCTGGAACCTAGTCTCTGCTAATGAGTTCTGCAGCCGAATAATAACAGGCACCGGTGCTCAGGACTCTCACAGTTTGCACCTGAGAGAAGAGGAATAGCTTAATTTCTAGAATAGAATTTGAAGATCCTTTTCTTCCGGCACTTTCACTTTCACTGTGCTCTCAATAAATTCGCCTTCTTCTGACATATACTGAATGCAACTAAAATGCAATTGTCAGCATAAACAATTCCCCTTTGCATATATGCACAGGTGCCTGAAGAGTATGTCTTGGAAACAGCACCCTGGAGTCTAAACCTGAAAATGGGAGGGGGAAAAAAAAAAGATTTTAGTTAACACCTTATATAAGGAACTTGCCTTAAAACCTTAAAATAAGTAATAAATATGGGCAGGAAAACTCAAGACAAGGTCACAGTGGGTAAACAGGCACATCCCTAGGTGAAAGAGATAGGGAAATAGACTTTCAGAAATTTTCCAGGGCTCTTTCTGGTGAGAAGAGGATTCGGTAAGGAAGATGGCAATGACTTCGCTGGTAGGGATAGGAAAGAATAGGAAACTTACAAATGGGACATCCAAGGAGAACCATCCTCCCACAACCATGAGTTGCTGGGTTTTCTGTGAGACAGCCCCATCCAGAATGCGAAATCAGAATGGGCACTGGCTTTCTGGATGAATTCCTGTGAAGAGGAAGGTTTCTGATTGATGGTGGAGCCAATGTGGCAGTTTCAGAATCTGTAAGTTGTGTAGCACTAGACTCAAAAAACTAAAGAATCAAAAAAGATTTTGTCATATCCTTGATGGTTTTACAGACTGTTCACTGAGGCCCCAAAATAATACGTAACCTGTCCATCCAAACACCATCCACTCCGCAGAAGCAAGACGGGGCAATCTACTTCTGCAAAGATTTACTGCCTCAGAAACCCAATGGGGGTCGCTATGAGTCAAAATCAACTCAATGGCGGTGGGTTTTGGTTTGGGGTCCATCCAAGGTCATGAACATGACCACTTTCAGGCTAGAACAAAGGTATTCTGTCTCTCAAAGGAATGCTCTCCCACCATGGGCCTAGATCAAATTGATTTTCCTATAAACCAATACTCCAGCCCAACACAAATCCGTATAAACTTACCAGATCTTCTGTGCTATTAATTTTCAGCAACTGGGCATCCAAAGACAAGCAGTTCTCTCTGCTCTTTGCCCAGTTAAATGCGCTAGAGGAAAATATGTAACAGCTTTCTCTGTGCCAGATCCAGTTTTGGGGACAAGGACCTAGAAAATGTAGTATATCTAATCAGTGAGTTATGCCTGGGTAAAAGTAATTCTGCAAGTTTCTTCTTAAATCAATTCACTCCTCAGTCCTTTCACATACGTCTATCTTTTCTTGATTGTTATACACAGACACTATAAATACTTAAGCACCCTCATGGTCTTTACTTCTCCTTTTTTTTTTTAAAGAAAAAAGCAATCTGATTTTAGTAAACTAAATCGACTTCTCTTTTACCATTTTTACTTCCCCTGTTTCATATCCCCTTCAGGATATGATTGGGATGTAATTTTAGAATCTGATAATTTTTTTTAAACTTATGTTTGGAATAATATGAGAGTTTGGCAATGACGCTTAATAGACATTCTGACATTAAAAAGTTATGTTTGTGTACTTAAAACTTCAAGGCCTTCAGTATTGGATCGTAGTCTTCATAGTGAATCTTCTGTTTCTAGATTTGTTCTATCCAATACAGTAGCCTCTAGCTACATGTGACTAGTCCCTGGGTAGCACAAATGGTCAAGCACTCAACTACTAGCCAAGGTACTGCTGCCAAAAGGTTTGCAGTTTGAACACACTCAGTAGTTCCTCAAAATAACAAGCCTAGCTATGTGCTTCTGAAAGGCCACAGCTTTAAAATCCTCATGGAGCAGTTCACCTCTGCACATATGGGGTTGCCATGAGTTAGAATCAACCCAGTGGCAACTATCAACAACAACAAAGCTAAATTGGCTCTTGAGCAGTTGAAATGTGTCTAGTCTACACTAAGATGTACTATAAGTGTAAAATGCACACCAGATTTTGAAAATTTAGTATGAAAGAATGTAAAGTATCTCATTAATAATTTTATAGATTACAGTGCTAAAATGATATTTTGAATATATTGTGCCAAATAAAATACATTATTAAAATTATTCAGTTTCTTTTCCCTTTTTTAATGTAGTTACTGTAAAATTTAATATTACATGTCTCATATTTCTTTTGCCCAGTGTTATTCTAGGGAGAATTGTACAGTGAAGCAAAGTAAGGATCTCAGTTTCAATAAGAATTTAGAAAACTAGTGAGAAATTTTCAGCCCAAAAATTCCCAGGCTGACCAAGAAACCAAACTCAGAGTTTAGGCAATAGGCAAAATATGCCAATGTCTGTATATTTATGAATATTTTAAACAACATCACAATCAGTCTAACTATCACCATTATCGTCACCACCACTATTTTCATCTCTTCTGTGTATTATCTACATTTGGATTCTCTTTAATGGGAAACAAAGCCCTTTTGTCTACGCTGTGACCTTGACCTAAAATTTAAAAAAAAAGAGAGAAAGAAAATCCTTGAGTAAGACACCATTTTAATTTGAATATTCATTGTGGCATAAAAACTTTGGATATTTTTATAAGAGTAAGTGAAATAAGAGAGGAAAGCACTATACAAAAGTGAGTGAGAAAAGATATACAAAAACCTGGGTGAACGAACGTACAGAATACAAATGTCTTCTTAATTTGCCTAGGCCTATTATACCGTGCGGGAGCTCTGGTAGCATAGTGGCTAAGGCACTTGACTGCTAACCAGAAGGCTGGCGGTTCAAACCCACCAGCCACTCCT